TCGAGCTCTTATCCTGATTAATAGTAACTTTATTCTTTATATTCCTTGCTCGATTTGCATATTTTAACGTACTTAGAGTTTCCATGAAATCTCTGTCGCTCGGTGATACGCACGCTATCATAACAGTTTGACTATTTCCTGCAATGTAAATCGTAATTGTAAGTCATAAAGTAGGCTTAATTAAAAACATTTTATCTGCTTATATATCGCAATTATATTGTATTACCTCCGAGAGAATCTTGAAGTAATCTAGTTAACTTTGAGTCTCTGTACGGTATATGTGAGGCTTTCTTCGTTTTATCACCGAGAGCGGAAATGACATTACCCAAGGCCAACTATAGAAAAAAACATAACGTATTAATCAAATGGATACTCTTTTTCTTATTTTTTTATCTTATTTTTTTTTTATTGAAAGGATCTATTCTTACCAATCCACAATTGATAGAAATGCCTTCTTTTGCTCTATCGCCGGTAGCGCCCGTTCTTTTTAATCTCTCGGAACCGGCTAAATCGACAAAATGAAACTTAGCGGTTAACGTTTCAAATTCATTCGTTAACTCGACACCGCTCGTATCAACATCCGCGTCGGGATCCTCGACTTTGATGCATCTTTGCTGTTTGATGTATAATGTAAATATTGCATGCGATCTAGAGGATTGCGTATTCATTTGCGTGGATCCAGTTGTGCGCGATAACGCACCCAATCGAAGGTATTCCAGTGCTTGTTCAGGGCTGGTTACGACGCGTGGTTCTACACCAGCTAAATGTATGTTACCCATTGTATCCTCATGAATACGAGCACCACCTCTCGGTCCTCCTGGCTCTAATAAATCTTTCAAATCTTCATTATATAATTCTAAGAATTGTGCTGTAACCTGTGGCATATAACGAGAGATCGTCATTGAAACAATGAAATCAATAGTCCAATCGAAACTTTTGCCGAAACTGAAGAGAAACATTCGACTGCATATCAATTCCAATCAAACCAAAACCAAAATTAAAAAATAAAAATTCTATAAAGGCCATATGTATAGACATATTTATATATCATATACTTTTTCTTCAAATATTATAATTTATTGAAACAATCTTCAAATATCATAATTTGTTGAAACAATAAATAATTAATGCCTAAATTCTAAACAGAATCGTAAGGCTTGTAACGTATTCCTGTAAGACTTGTAAAAATTTTTAAGTGTTTTCTATCTTTATACAATATTTTTACAGCTTCTTTACTAGCCATAAAATTTACAAGAAATTGTAGATATTTACGAATAATCATACATCTTATGACACTTACGTATAAAAATTAGAACACTAGTATAAGTTCTTACAAGTTTTACGAGAGTATGTTACGAGTCTTATGATTCTACTTAGAATTGACTCAAATTTCGACCGAAATCGAAAATCGAAATTTCGTTTGTCAACTTATGTATCAACTTTAGCCAAAAAATATAAGTACTTCTTCTTCATAAACATCATAATTCAATCATTGAAACAACATTTATACATATTAAAATTAATATTTATGAAGAAGAGCTTTATGGTTTCGAAACTGACACTTAATGAGTGTTCGTTTTTAGTTTCGGTAAAAGTTTCGAAATCAAAGTCTAGAAATCAAAGACAAAAAACGAAGCATAAGTTGAATCCCAGATAATTCAACGGACCTTAAACTCTGGAGGCATTTGCGTGCGTTCCCTTGCACGTTCCTGCTTATCCGTTATTCCATCGAAAAGGTGTTTAATAGCTCTAGGAATGATCCCGATGATAGTTTCATCGACTTCTACGTCGAAACCAGTGCCCATGGTGTAAGTTTTACCCGAGCCGGTTTGTCCATAGGCGAGGACCGTCGCGTTGTAGCCATCCAATGCGCCTTCCACCAGACGATTCACGCATGTTTCGTAAATCGCATTTTGATTCATCTGAGTATCGAAAACGTAATCGTACGTAAAGGCCTTGTCGGGTCCGAGAAAAACTTGCGGCTCCCCTTGAGGTACTTGAGTACAAATTCTGCACATATCGATTACTTCGCGAGCTACTTGAGGCCTTATTCTGTAACAGACAAGACCAATTTATCTAACGGTTAAAAACAATGAAGAACAATAAACACTTTGCGGTAATCGCGGTATCATTGGTGACGAAGGTCACTTGTATCTCCAACTTTGAAGTTAAAGGTGCTCATTTCTTAGGCGAACGGTAATTAAGCCCACGCGTTTGTGTCATAAAAGGAGATACTTGAGAATCGGTATTTGCAATCGTCCGTGGAATTCGCTCGAGTCCAAGTTTCTTCATGCGTCATAACATGTTTACGCGCAAAAGAATTGCAGGTATCTCGCGCTTCGTTCTTTATTCTTCGTAATGAAGGAAAAAAAAAATCAAAAATTCGATACTGAGCAATCGCGTTATTCATATATGTTACGATTAGCTAAAGATATTTTATTCCTCGAATGGAATTCCTCATCAACCTGCTTCATGTAAGAAGCATCCAGTTAGGCATCCAAGGATGTTTCAGAAGCATACGAGAAATATTTATCTGAATAAAAGCAGTTAGTCAGCAAATTCTTCAATTACTTCGTCATTCACAGTTAATAGAGAAATACGCTTGTTTGAATAAACGGAGTTGTCTCTAATCAGCCTCTCGGTACCGGCATGTCACCGGCATGTCACCGGCATGTATCAAATATCGCGGACAAAAGTCTGAAAAAGGTTTTCGATTTTATTATATTATACAAATGTATTATTTACTTACCGCACGGCAACGCGTACGCTCGAATCGTCCGCCATCTCGTTACGTTTTAGTTATTAGTCGATGCTATGCTCAACTATGTGAGGATCATAAGACAACTTTGGCTATATTAGGCTAAAATTAGGCCAAAATAAACCAAATGCGAATGGCTGCAGGCAGTTGCGATTCTCCGCTATGCGACAATGTCAAGAACGTTGCGTGCTCGCGCACGCGTTATCAGGCACAATAATTGGAAAAATTCGACCATCTCCGATGGGCGATGCACGAGAGACTGTACATTTCTCTCGTGACGTTTATGAGTAAAAGCGTTTCACTTGATAACTCGATTCACTGTACACGACGGCGACGGCGGCCGTCACTAACCAATCACCAAGCATGACCAAACAATCGTGACAATAGCGTGGGAGTTTGAGCTGCTTCTTGAATATCTGTCAGTAGTACTGTCAGTACCATCGTTGTTTCTACTGCTTTCTACGCGGAGCACTCGTATGAACATATATATATACGAACGTATTGTATATACAGTAAAATTCATTGAGAAAGGCCATGTCGTATACTGCTGTTGCTGAAGCGAAGCAATCGTGAGCAATCGTTAAAAACGATGTACAGTCGATGTATAGTCGAAGCAGTTTCTCTCTGGTCGGAGAGAAACTTGAGAGAGGCCATCTGAAGCCATCCCGGGCGTTTTTCGCGTGACGCTTGAAAAAGCCAGTACACTAGCGACATCAATATCAATTTTATAAATTGATGTGAACTACGTATCATATTTCCGACATTGATAAAGTCGTAGTATTTATCGGTAAGCCAATCGATAAACTACCCTGTCAGTATTTATTAATTATTGGTAAGGGCGATAAGATATTGGGAGTACAACAAGTTTCCGCCGTTTACAAAAGACGGCGCCACTAATAAACTAAGTTAAAATTGTTTGATGTAAAACAACATATCGAGAGATTGGACATCCGGCAACATCATAACCTTGAAATATTAGCGATTTTGTATCAGCATCATATTATATATTTTTTTTTGTACGAAAATGTCAAGTTTTAAGCCGAATAAGCGTCATTTGCGGGAACTTTTGATTTACTTCTTTAATTTGAAGAAATCTGCAGCTGAGTCTCATAGATTGCTTGTAGAAGCATATGGTGATGCTGCCTTAAGTGAGAGAAGTTGTCGTGAGTGGTTTCAAAAGTTTAAGAACGGTGAATTTGACGTCGAAGACAAAGAACGTAGCGGAAGGCCGAAAGTGTACGAAGACGCGGAATTGGAAGCATTATTGGATGAAGATTTGTGCCAAACGCAAAAAGAACTTGCACTTACATTAGGAGTGACTCAACAAACAATTTCATATCGTTTGAAATCATTGGGAATGATTCAAAAGCAAGGGAATTGGGTTCCATATGAACTGAAGCCGAGAAACATTGAACGCCGATTTTTCACATGTGAAATGCTGCTTGCCAGACATAAACGAAAGGATTTTTTGCATCGTATAGTAACTAGTGGTGAAAAATGGATCCACTACGATAACCCAAAATCAAGAGGACCACATGGCCATGCTTCAACATCGACAGTCAAGCCGAATATTCATGGAAAAAAATTCATGTTGTGTATTTGGTGGGATCAGCTTGGTGTCGTGTATTATGAGTTGCTTAAACCGAACGAGACCATTACTGGGGCTCTCTACCGAACACAATTGATGAAATTGAGCCGAGCACTCAAGGAAAAACGTGCCCACTACTATTCCGGGCATGACAAAATTATTCTCCTGCATAATAATGCTCGACCACATGTTGCGGCGCCGGTCAAAACCTACTTAGAAACACTCAAATGGGAAGTTTTACTCCACCCGCCGTATTCTCCAGACATTGCTCCTTCCGACTACCACTTGTTTCGATCGATGACACATGGCCTGTTTGAGCAGCACTTCACATCATATGAAGATACCAAAAATTGTATCGATGATTGGATAGCTTCAAAAGATGAAGCATTCTTCCGACGCGGTATTCACATGCTACCAGAAAGATGGGAAAAAGTAGTGGCTAGCGATGGCCATTATTTTGAATAAAACATTATGTACCGTTCTTTTACAATAAATGTTTAATTTTTGTTTAAAAAACGGCGGAAACTTATTTGTATTCCCAATATGTAATTTAAATTAATAATAAATTATCATAAATTATATTGTAAATTAGACACAATGTGCAGGACAATGATGCGATTGTAAATCAATTCAATCGCATGTGTGTGGCATAAACATCATAAAATAAATTAAAAACATTTTATTTTAATTATACAGATGTAATAAGTTAAAAGATATTAGATCTAATTCCCGTCTCAATTTCTCTTCTTGCTGGATATTGTCGAACCATCTCGAGACGTGAATATATTGTGCCTTTTGCTGAAGACTTAATTTTTTCTGTAAAAAAATAGTAAATATAATAATTATAGATGTCATATAATAATATATAGATATTATATAAATGATATATAATAATTATATATCATTATTGCAGCTTATTACAATATGTTATTACCATGATGGAATGTAAAACGTAATACAACACAACATCTGCAATAGTCTTCTTTGTACCAGTTATATATGGTATATCTTTTATTATAATATTCAGTTCCTATAATTAAAAGTTAGATAATATTATATTTTCTGTAAGAAATATGCTTTATATATAATATACATGTATGTGGCACTTGCATTTAATATTCTGTTGGCATTGATAGGAACATCCGCATAATTAATACAGATTACAATATATTCTAGCCATTGCTGTACCAATGCTTGTGTTTCTTTCTCAAGTATATCAGAACATTTTGAACTCCTTACAAGTGCTTGCACAATAGTGCTAAAGCCTTGAATGGATAAATTCTTTTCTGCATACTCTAGAATAAATACTATCTAAAACAATCATGTGCAATATATATATATATATATATGTGTGTACACACACACACACACACACACACACACACACACACACACACATACACACACACATTAGGTGTAATAAAAAGAAATCCATTATTTTTGCATGAAATTGAATGGAAAAATAATGGATTTCTTTTTACTACACCTAATATATCCAGCAACGAGAATGAATTAAAATGGATTGAAATTTTTTTTTATTCAAATGCGTATTTTAAATAACGAATATTTTTTTTGGATTTAATTGGATTCAATTAGATTCAATTGGATGCAATTGGATTAAAAAACTGCATTTTCTATTCAAAATTTTGAATTGAACAATATTCGCAATTGTGTTTGTACGTAGAAAAAGCTAATATTATTTTTAGACTGAAAGACATAGATATGCTTGTAATTTCTATAAATGAATAAAAATGCATTCAGAATTGAAAAGCACATATAATTTAACATATAATTTAAC